ATTATTACTCTAACTCCTTCAAAATTCTTTTCATCATTTCAGTTCAATTATTATTTTCTAAAATTTTTAACTAGAATTCTTCTTTAAATCAATTACTGTTAATAATTTTTAAAAAAGGTCATAATCTATTTTTCGTGTTTTTCGAAATTAAGTAGTAAAAACAAGTTTTAGTCAGACGTCATATCCTATTTTTCGTAACATTACAAAATAATTAGTAAAAACATGTTTTGGTCAGACGTAATACCCTATTATTAGTATTTTTCTAAATAAAGTAGTAAAAATAAATTTTAGTCAAACTTAATATCCTTCTTTTTGTTTTTTTCTAAATTAAGTAGTAAAAACAAGTTTTAATCAGACGTCACATCCTATTTTTCGTAATATTACAAAATAATTAGTAAAAACATGTTTTGGTCAGACGTAATACCCTATTTTCAGTATTTTTCTAAATTAAGTAGTAAAAATAAGTTTTAGTCTGACGTCATATCATATTTTTTGAATATCTCCAAAATGAGTAGTAAGAACATGTTTTGGTCAGACGTAATTCCAATTTTTCGTATTTTTTTATATTAAGTAGTAAAAATAAATTTTAGTCAGACATCATTAAAATTAATTCGACACGGAGTGATAATTTTCTCAATGTTTTATAATAATTAAAGATGACATATATTAGAAAATAAAAACTTGAAATAATTTTAAAAAATTTCGATTAAGCTTCTTAAAGAAAATTAGTTGCAAAGAATTTTTAATTAAAAGCATGAAAAATTTAGATTTTTAAAGATTTTAATTTTGAAACCTTTACAAAATTCAATTATTTCTAAATATTGCAATTATTGGTAAATTCTCCAAAATTCAGTTATTATCTAAAACTTTAATTAAAATTAATTTTTAAATCAATTTTCAATAGAAAATTCTACGAGAATTCAATTATTTAAATACAAGAATAAATAATTTATTAAATAATTAAATTTTTCTTAAAATTTATTTCCCATAAAGAATTTTATCAACAAATTTTTAAGTAATTGAATTCTTTTGACGAATTTTAAATAATTAGAAGAAATTAATTAGGCGGAAGATTTAAATTAATATATTTTTTTTTAATAAAAATTATTATTAAAAATGAATAAAAAATAATTATTATTATAATTTTTATTATTATCTTCAATTTAATTTAATTATTACAATTAAAAATAGAAAATTATTAATTTAATTTTACTATTAATTCAAATCTTCCGCCTAAATGGAGGACAGCTGCCTGCGCAGGCAGCTTTCAACAAGAGCTGTGGCAGTACCTTTAGAATTGTCTACAAAGTAAACTAAAAATAAATAGAACTTTTTAAAACAAGAGTAAAATCTATTGTTTACAACTGACAACACAGTAAAGGGGGATTGTCCAAGAATAATTCCTTATGGGCTGGTGTTATAACTTTATATTTTAGAAATGCTCTTCTTTTCATTCAACATATCGTTTCCGAAAATGCGCACATTTATTGTAGTGGCGCTGACTACAGAAGCCCAATAATTCCGTCCAGGGACTAGGCTGTAAGTAACCATTCTTGGACAAGCGTTTGAACTTTCTATAAAGTTTGTTTTTCATGGATCCCCCTTTATTGTTGTCAGTTATAAACAATAGATTTTACTCTTGTTTTAAAAAGTTCTATTTATTTTTAGTTTACTATGTAGACAATTCTACACGGAAAAGTTCTTGGGCGAGTCGCTGTACCTGTTGTGGTGGCGCTGAGTGACCAGTACCTATGGTAAAGTGACAGCCCCATTTTGGTAGCTCATTTCACCCACAGAGACTGCTGCTTTCCTACTGTGGGGCGTCAGAGCTCTCTTGTGGGGCATCAGAGCTCTCTTTAGAGAGAAAGCAGAAAACCTTTTCTGTGGGAGGCGAGTGAGAGACGTCTGCTCGCCCAAAAACTTTTCCGTGTAAGAGGAGTATTATTTGAGAAATATAAAAAATTAAAACAATAATTTTATGATTTTAAATAAAGAGAAATGAAATAAGAGAAAAGTTATAATTTAATTATATTAGAAAAACATTCGGGTATATTCTAATTTCTAACACGTTAAAATAAATGTGACGATCTCTGAAGAAAAAATCTTTAGAAAGAATTGATAATAAAATCTTCATAAAAACAATTAATGAGTATTTAATAATAACATATCTAAACTATTTAACGAAAACAGTTTTTGTGTTCAGATAATCAAAAATAAGTCTGTAATTAAGTTCGAACTATTATAAATATAACCTATAAATTCTTGTTTCTATGATTTCCTTCATCATGGCACGTCACACATTCTAGTTTTATCTTTGGTGGATTCCACGTCAGTTCAACACACTTATTTTCATGACTTGTTGGGATTTGGCTGTACTTTTGTAAATTCATTACTTTTATAGTGATAAACAACTTCACCAAATATTTTTTCAAAATTTTGAAAATTACCAAAAATATGGCATTTTCAAAATTTTTGTCTTTTTTTTTTGAAAGTGCTATAACTTTGGTTCTAATTAACCGATTTTGGATTTTAAAAAAAGGATTTCTTTGGTTTTAAGTATATTTTAAGTTAAAATTAATATAAAAAAAAAAAATTCAAAAAAAATTTTTTTTTTGAAATTTTGAAAAATTAAAAATCCGTTTTTGAAAAAACATCATCTTTGATTTTTTTCAAAATTTTACTAAATATTAGAGCAAATGTGCTTTACATGTCCTGTAAGTTTTATCTTGGGATCTCAAAGGGATTCGTAGTAAAAAAATAAAACGTAACCATATATTACGAACATATGGAGCAAAATTCCTCAACTGCCCAGGTAAAAAAATGAATTTTTGTGGAAAATAATAATTTATCATTATTTTACATAGAAAATGATGATTTATAATTAATTTCTTCAAAAATTTCCATGGTCCCAGTCTGATTTTTACATGGCTCATATGAAAAATGGTAATAAATAAATGGTAATAAATCATTAATTAGAGAATAATTTAATCCCAACAAAAACTTCTTTGATGTTTAAATATAATGGGTTTTGACCCAATAAGGAAAAAAAGATTTTTTGCCTATAAGGGAAACTTTTTCAAAAAAAAAATTTTATTATTAAAGTAATTACGTGTTGAAGTTTTAGATCATTTTATTTTCATGTTATTATTACTTTGAAACAAATAAAGAACACTTTGCTTCCTCATAGAGATAATAATAATAATAATAATAATAATAATAGGAAAATATATGAATAACTTTTTATAAATATGGTAAAAGTGATTAAATCTTGGGTCAATCAATGTATTTTTAAATACTCTACAATATAGTTTTAATAGTTAAACAAAAATTTTCAAACAGAATAGTTGAGAAAATGTCATTTTCCACAATTTTTGGTTTTTAAAATACCAATAATTTCGAAATTTATTATCGAATTAGGTTCAAAAATAGGTCAATCGAATCGTTTTATAATGCTCTACAAGTTGGTAACGATAATTTTAAGATTACTTTTACATTTTTTAACAAAATTTTCAAAAAAATATTTTTTTCTAAAATTTATGTTTTTTAAAAGTTTAATATCTCCGGTTAATATGGACGAAAAATGTTTAATTAGGACTAAAAAGATGCTTTTAAAAAAACTCTACAAAATTATGGAAAAACATTTATAGGTGTCCTAACATTTTTTTAAAGTTATGGGCAAAAAACGTGTTTTTGGAAAATTAAAAATCCAAAAAAAATTTAGTTAAACTTTATTAATCTATCACAAAGTACTCTCACTTTATGTCCGCAACTCCTGAGGTCAAATAACATAAAGATATATAAAAAAATCGAACTCGAAAAATTTTAGTATTACAATACTTTCTCTATGAGGAAGTAATAATTAAGTAATTTTTTTTAAATTAAAGCTTAAAGTCTGTACTTTAATGATAAAATAAGGGATTGTTAAAAAATGAAATTTTAAAATTGTTATTAACAATTCTTTAAAACAATTGCAAATTCAAGAATGTTCTCAATATTTCGGGAAAATTAAATTACCCTGTATTGATGTGCAAAACTCCAAGAATTAACTTAAAAAAAAATTTCGCCTGTATTTTGGCAGAAAAATCTACACAACTTTTATAATATAGAAGGTTACTGATTTTTCTTTTTTTAAATTAATCCTTGGAGTTTTTACATAATTTTTCAAGTCATTTGATCAATATTTTATTTAGACATTTTTAAAAAATGATAATTTTCAATGTTTTACAAAAATTTTAATGACTTCTAAAATACTGAATGCTTTTTAATGATCTTAGGCTTATTTTAAAGGTGATTTTCTCCAGAATGAGAATTTTTTATAGGCATTAACGTGTAATTTTTTATAGAAAATTCAATTCGATAAACTTAAAATTAAAAAAATTTTAAACAATCTTATTAACAGAAAAATAATTTTTAAAATATAAACATATGTTTTTATTAAATTAAGATTTAATTTAAGGTTACATTAAGGTTTTATTTTGTGTGTTAAAGGACTAGAAGTGGGCGCGCGACGCGCGCCCTTTTGGTTCTAGTATACTTAAAACCAAAGAAATCCTTTTTTAAAATCCAAAATCGGTTAATTAGAACCAAAGTTATAGCACTTTAAAAAAAAAAGACAAAAATTTTGAAAATGCTATATTTTTGGTAATTTTCAAAATTCTGAAAAAATATTTGGTGGAGTTGTTTATCACTATAAAAGAAATAAATTTACAAAATTACAGCCAAATCCCAACAAGTCATGAAAATAAGTGTGTTGAACTGACGTGGAATCCACCCTTTTAGCCTTTTTAGGAACATTTATCTAATTTTAATGTAAAATTACAATTCTGTTTCAGATTGATGCAATGATTATACTTTCCTTTCTCATTGTAGATGTAATGTAAACAAGTGCAAATACATGTATAGAAACTCACACATCATTCAATTTAAGAATTTTAATTTCAAATAACAATAAAAATGTCTATAATTTGCGATTCGACGAAGGAGTAAAGAAAAAAATAACTATGGCTTTAAATATTGAATCTAATATCGTTGGTAATAATTTTAGATTACCATATGAATTCTTTAAAAAATTCAAAACACCTGACAAAATAAGTCTTTCGAAAGGCTGGACATTATACTTTAAAAAATATTTCAAAGATGTTTATCCGGATTGTAATATTTCATTTCATTTCAATAAGTGTAGGAAAGGTGTGACATGCGAACAGAAAATTTGGTCTGCTGAAGCTCATTGCACTACAAAAGGATGTGCCAAATTTAAATTTCATATAAGGAAAGGTGAAATTGTTGAAGGGCAGGAAATAATAGTTCGTTTGGAAATAATTGGTACTGTATCTCACGAAAATAGATCTGTCTCAACTAATGTTTCCAACATTTCACGTAGCAATGAATTACCACAGAGTGAGCATGAAAATGTCGAAGCCAATGATTTAAATTTCAATGTTCCGAGTACATTTTTAACGGATTATAAAAAAGAAGACAATCAGTTACGTTTAAATAAAGGTTGGATCATCAATTTTAAAAACTGTTTCTCACAGCGCCATTCTTGCGATCTTGCAATTGAAGATAATAAAATTAAAAAAGGTCGAAATAATAAAATTTGGATCTCCTCAGGGTACTGTCGAACACAAGGTTGCTCTTCTAGATATACATTTACCATATATTCGGATATTGAGGAAGGATCTCCAATTACTGTACATGTTCAGAAAACAGAAGACCCCAAATGTAATAAAGTTGCAGCTGAGATCAAAAAAGTAGATGAAAAAATTGAAACAGATACAAATTTTTTCGTAAGTGAAGAAATTATAAATGCACGAATAGATTTTATGAAACAATATCCAGGAGATAAACACATACATGGTTATATTCAAGGATATTCTTCATTACCTTTTTACATTATTATGTTTTCACATGAATCAATACAATATTTGCTTGAACTGGAATCTCAAAAATTTTGTTTTTTAACATCAAGGGAAACAACTCTTACTCCTTCGCCTGAAATTGAGACTCGACTGCAATATTATTCTCTGTCGCTTCAAAATAAAGAATCATATCCTAGCGTAACGATTTTCGAATTTATAACTAGTACTCATGAAGAAGCGATTTTAAAATTAATTTTTTCAACATTCCAGTATTCCTTAAATTTGTATTCTAAACGACAAAGTCGATTTATAGATACAATAGATGTTGATTTCAATACGACTTTAATAGAATGTTTATTGCAAGTATTCAACAGCATGACTCTCACAGAATACTTGGAACGTATGTGGGAAGAAATTGGATCCAAAAGAAGAATTTCTTTATTGTTTCACGATATTTCGGTAATACATATTTCTTCCACTCACTTAATGCAGGTTGCTCGAGAAACCTATAAATACAACGAAACAGATATTTCCAACATTGAAACTTGTGTCCTGAATTCAATCATTCAATCTTCAGATTTAAATTCTGCAACAAATGTATTTAACATTTCAGTTATATTATTTTGCAGTTATTCAGAAACAAGTGTTCAGTATAATAATGCTCTTCGTAAGATCAAAGATATGTCATTATCGCAAGATGATTTCCCAAAATCAAATATTTCTGAATGCTGTCAACAGAATTTACAATGTCAGAATTTCTCACAAAATACGATTAATAAATCAAAATGGTTTCAATATTTTCATTCAATTTATAAAGAATCAGTAGAGAAATTAAATGAAGACAAAATTGATATTACAAATAAATTGTACAATACCAAATTTATTGAATTTCTATTATACAATGTATTATCAATTTATCCCTTAACATCAAGGATTATAATCGAAAATTTTGATATACATTTCGAATCGAATAATTTTGACAGTGAAAAATCATTAAATTTGAAATCTGAAGATTATGATAAAAATCCAAACCTATTTCTTGATCAACTTGCAAAAAATCATTTTCAAAACATTGCTAACGCAATTAATGCAAAATCTATTCACACTGAAAGAACAAATACCAAAAATCGCAAGTATATGGAAAAAGATATAAAAAGTTGCAAAGATGAAGACGAAGAACAATTACATAATTTAAGTGAAAAAAAACTAAATTTAGCAACGGAAGTGTGGATGGACAAAAAGAAGAAAAATACAGTAAATACATATTTCAAATCACCAAAGTATATATCTCAAGCGAAAAAAATCAATGAAAATTCAAAAAAAGTTGAAAGTGTAGTGGATTTACTTTCAAATGTTAAGTTGATAAGTGGAAATTTGAAAAATGGAGACTTATTAGTGGAAGATTCAATGGAAAATGCAAGAAAGCGTTCAAACTGTGATAAGCCAATTTTATTGGAAACTCCACGACCAACAATTGCATTTTCAAAACCTTGGTCGGGACACAAATTCCCAAAAGTTTGGGACAAGAAAGAAGTATTTGTTTCAGGGATTAAGGTTGACGACAGAAGCTTTCGAACCTTAAAGATTCACGAATGCCTTGACGATGCAGTAATCGATTCATTTATTGCAATATGTGCGTCAAAGTTCACTGATATCAACCTATTAAATTTCTCCGTCTACAATGTTTTGGGCATCATTAATGAAAATTATAAACCCGAATTTTGTTTAAACTGGTGCCAGAACATTCGGGCAAAAAATTACGATGCCTGGCTACTTCCTGTCCATGACAGTGAAGTTCATAATACTGGACATTGGACGCTATTTTTGGTCGTCTTTAGCCAAAAATACATCATATATTTCGATAGTTTAAAAGGCGATCCAGTAGAAAAGTGGGTTAGTAAACTTTGCGCGTTAATAAATCAAACATTTTGCCACAAGCCAGAGATTTTCACGGACTGGGCACAATGGACGCTAATAGCACCAAAAGATGTTCCAAGTCAAGGACATGTTCGTGGAAGCAGCAATAATTGCGGGGCGCATTTGTGTACTTGGGCTTGGACACTTTATTCTGGCCAGGAGATTAATTTTACCGAATATGATATGAACAAAGTGAGACCATGGATACAACACGAAATCGAAACATCTCAAACAAAAAATGAACAAAGACAAAGGCAAAGATGTAAAGTACTGTCCGAGAAGAATTTGCAAGTACAAGACGTAAGAAAACTTAAAAGATCTAATAAGCCTCCTGCAGGATTTCCATCGACGGTCGCATATTGCGCCACTTTGAAAGAAATATTAAAAGCAGAAAAAATGTAAATGTTCAATGTTGATTTAAAAATTGTTAAATTTAATATTTATTTTTTTAAAACGTGTTATACAATTTCAAATAATATTCAAAACACTTAAAAGTGAAATGTTAAATCGTCGATTTGTCTACGTAATTTAAATTTAAATTTCAAAAATATTATTTAAAATACGAAGATTTTCTTCTTCTTCTTCTATTTTACAGAAATAATAATGAAAAATATAAATAGAAAATGTTCATTTAAATAAGGTCAACCTTAAATTTCATTTTCTTAAACGTGTTATACAATTTCAAAACGTAACCTGTTAATAAACAACTAATTTTTATAATTAATTATCATCGGTGTATGTTTATTTACAAGAATTTATTTCAGTAAAATAATTTTGGCAAAGTTATTAGTCAAAATACTCCATCCGCCGATTAGCAGACAATCAAATTTTTGAGTTTTTCGAAGTTAATAGCTTAAAAAAATTCAATTGTTAATAAACAACTGATTTTTTTGTTGCCTATTGTTCATTGGATGTTTATTTACAAGAATTTCCTAAAATTAAATAATTTTGGCCAAATTCCTTGTCAAAATTCTTTATCCGCCAATTAGCAGACAATCGAATTTTTGAGTTTTTCGAAGTAAAAAGTTTTAAAAAATTCAATTGTTAATAAACAATTGATTTTGTTGTTGCCTATTGTTTATTGGATGTTTATTTACAAGAATTTCCTTAAATTAAATAATTTTGGCCAAATTCCTTGTCAAAATTCTTCATCCGCCAATTAGCAGACAATCGAATTTTTGAGTTTTAGGCAGTAAAAAGTTTTAAAAAATTCAATTGTTAATAAACAATTGATTTTGTTGTTGTCTACTGTTCATTAGTTGTTTATTTACAAGAATTTCCTCAAACTAAATAATTTTGGCCAAATTCCTTGACAAAATTTTCCATCCGCCAATTAGCAGACAATCGAATTTTTGAGTTTTTCGAAATAAAAAGTTTAAAAAAATTCAATTGTTAATAAACAATTGATTTTGTTGTTGCCTATTGTTTATTGGATGTTTATTTGCAAGAATTTCCTTAAATTATATAATTTTGGCCAAATTCCTTGTCAAAATTCTACATCCGCCAATTAGCAGACAATCGAATTTTTGAGTTTTTCGAAATAAAAAGTTTTAAAAAAATTCAATTAATAATAAACAATTGATTTTGTTGTTGCCTGTTGTTCATTGGATGTTTATTTACAAGAATTTTCTTTTATTAAATAATTTTGGCCAAAATCCTTGTCAAAATTCTCCATCCGCCAATTAGCAGACAATCGAATTTTTGAGTTTTTCGAAGTAAAATGTTTTAAAAAATTCAATTGTTAATAAACAATTGATTTTGTTGTTGCCTATTGTTCATTAGATGTTTATTTACAAGAATTTCCTCAAATTAAATAATTTTGGCCAAATTCCTTGACAAAATTCTCCATCCGCCAATTAGCAGACAATCGAATTTTTGAGTTTTTCGAAATAAAAAGTTTTAAAAAATTCAATTGTTAATAAACAATTGATTTTCTTGTTGCCTATTGTTTATTGGATGTTTATTTGCAAGAATTGCCTTAAATTAAATAATTTTGGCCAAATTCCTTGTCAAAATTCTCCATCCGCCAATTAGCAGACAATCGAATTTTTGAGTTTTTCGAAATAAAAAGTTTTAAAAAATTCAATTGCTAATAAACAATTGATTTTGTTGTTGCCTATTGTTCATTAGATGTTTATTTACAAGAATTTCCTCAAATTAAATAATTTTAGACAAATTCCTTGTCAAAATTCTCCATCCGCCAATTAGCAGACAATCGAATTTTTGAGTTTTTCGAAGTAAAAAGTTTTAAAAAATTCAATTGTTAACAAACCATTTATTTTTGTTGTTGCCTATTGTTCATTAGATGTTTATTTACAAGAATTTCCTCAAATTAAATAATTTTGGCCAAATTCCTTGACAAAATTCTCCATCCGCCAATTAGCAGACAATCGAATTTTTGAGTTTTTCGAAATAAAAAGTTTTAAAAAATTCAATTGTTAATAAACAATTGATTTTCTTGTTGCCTGTTGTTCATTGGATGTTTATTTACAAGAATTTTCTTTTATTAAATAATTTTGGCCAAAATCCTTGTCAAAATTCTCCATCCGCCAATTAGCAGACAATCGAATTTTTGAGTTTTTCGAAGTAAAAAGTTTTAAAAAATTCAATAGTTACTAAACAATTAATTTTGTTGTTGCCTATTGTTTATTGGATGTTTATTTACAAGAATTTCCTTAAATTAAATAATTTTGGCCAAATTCCTTGACAAAATTCTCCATCCGCCAATTAGCAGACAATCGAATTTTTGAGTTTTTCGAAGTAAAAAGTTTTAAAAAATTCAATTGTTAACAAACCATTTATTTTTGTTGTTGCCTATTGTTTATTGGATGTTTATTTACAAGAATTTCCTTAAACTAAATAATTTTGGCCAAATTCCTTGTCAAAATTCTCCATCCGCCAATTAGCAGACAATCGAATTTTTGAGTTTTTCGAAGTAAAAAGTTTAAAAAAATTCAATTGTTAATAAACATTTGATTTTGTTGTTGCTTATTGTTCATTGGATGTTTATTTACAAGAATTTCTTTAAATTAAATATTGTTTGCCAAATTGCTTGTCAAAATTCTCCATCCGCCAATTAGCAGACAATTGAATTTTTGAGTTTTTCGAAGTAAAAAGTTTTAAAAAATTCAATTGTTACTAAACAATTGATTTTTTTGTTGGATATTGTTCAATGGATCTTTATTTACAAGAATTTCCTCAAATTAAATAATTTTGGCCAAATTCCTTGTCAAAATTCTCCATCCGCCAATTAGCAGACAATCGAATTTTTGAGTTTTTCGAAGTAAAAAGTTTTAAAAAATTCAATTGTTAATAAACAATTGATTTTGTTGTTGCCTATTGTTCATTGGATGTTTATTTACAAGAATTTTCTTTTATTAAATAATTTTGGCCAAATTCCTTGTCAAAATTCTCCATCCGCCAATTAGCAGACAATCGAATTTTTGAGTTTTTCGAAGTAAAAAGTTTTAAAAAATTCAATTGTTAATAAACAATTGATTTTGTTGTTGCCTATTGTTCATTGGATGTTTATTTACAAGAATTTCCTCAAATTAAATAATTTTAGCCAAATTCCTTGTCAAAATTCTCCATCCGCCAATTAGCAGACAATCGAATTTTTGAGTTTTTCGAAGTAAAAAGTTTAAAAAAATTCAATTGTTAATAAACAATTAATTTTGTTGTTGCCTATTGTTCATTGGATGTTTATTTACAAGAATTTTCTTTTATTAAATAATTTTGGCCAAATGCCTTGTCAAAATTCTCCATCCGACAATTAGCAGACAATCGAATTTTTGAGTCTTAGGCAGTAAAAAGTTTTAAAAAATTCAATTGTTAATAAACAATTGATTTTGTTGTTGCCTATTGTTCATTGGATGTTTATTTACAAGAATTTTCTTTTATTAAATAATTTTGGCCAAATTCCTTGTCAAAATTCTCCATCCGCCAATTAGCAGACAATCGAATTTTTGAGTTTTTCGAAGTAAAAAGTTTTAAAAAATTCAATTGTTAATAAACAATTGATTTTGTTGTTGCCTATTGTTCATTGGATGTTTATTTACAAGAATTTCCTCAAATTAAATAATTTTAGCCAAATTCCTTGTCAAAATTCTCCATCCGCCAATTAGCAGACAATCGAATTTTTGAGTTTTTCGAAGTAAAAAGTTTATAAAATTCAATTGTTAATAAACAATTAATTTTGTTGTTGCCTATTGTTCATTGGATGTTTATTTACAAGAATTTTCTTTTATTAAATAATTTTGGCCAAATGCCTTGTCAAAATTCTCCATCCGACAATTAGCAGACAATCGAATTTTTGAGTCTTAGGCAGTAAAAAGTTTTAAAAAATTCAATTGTTAATAAACAATTGATTTTGTTGTTGCCTATTGTTCATTGGATGTTTATTTACAAGAATTTTCTTTTATTAAATAATTTTGGCCAAATTCCTTGTCAAAATTCTCCATCCGCCAATTAGCAGACAATCGAATTTTTGAGTTTTTCGAAGTAAAAAGTTTTAAAAAATTCAATTGTTAATAAACAATTGATTTTGTTGTTGCCTATTGTTCATTGGATGTTTATTTACAAGAATTTTCTTTTATTAAATAATTTTGGCCAAATTCCTTGTCAAAATTCTCCATCCGCCAATTAGCAGACAATCGAATTTTTGAGTTTTTCGAAGTAAAAAGTTTTAAAAAATTCAATTGTTAATAAACAATTGATTTTGTTGTTGCCTATTGTTCATTTGATGTTTATTTACAAGAATTTTCTTTTATTAAATAATTTTGGCCAAATTTCTTGACAAAATTCTCCATCCGCCAATTAGCAGGCAATTGAATTTTTGAGTATTTCGAAATAAAAAGTTTTTAAAATTTAATTGTTAATAAACAATTCATTTTGTTGTTGCCTATTGTTTATTGGATGTTTATTTGCAAGAATTTCCTTAAATTAAATAATTTTGGCTAAATTCCTTGTCAAAATTCTCCATCCGCCAATTAGCAGACAATCGAATTTTTGAGTTTTTCGAAGTAAAAAGTTTTAAAAAATTCAATTGTTAATAAACAATTGATTTTGTTGTTGCCTATTGTTCATTTGATGTTTATTTACAAGAATTTTCTTTTATTAAATAATTTTGGCCAAATTTCTTGACAAAATTCTCCATCCGCCAATTAGCAGACAATCGAATTTTTTAGTTTTTCGAAATAAAAAGTTTTTAAAAATTCAATTGTTAATAAACAATTGATTTTGTTGTTGCCTATTGTTTATTGGATGTTTATTTACAAGAATTTCCTCAAATTAAATAATTT